TTTATTATTCAAAGTCCAGCCCGGCCCCGACCCAACCCAAAATATTTTACAAAAGAAAGCACGGTCTAACCCCTTATCGGCGCGGTCCAATGTCACTACGGGACGGACTTTTTGAGGACTGGGTCTTTAATCTATATCGTAGCTATAATATTAATAATACGTATGGATGAAAAAACCTAATGTAAATGGTCCCAAATTATATTCCCAAACGCATAGTTCGCTCTCTCGGACCGTGTCCACTGGTTTCTCTCTCAATAATTTACAATAATACATTTTCAACATCAAATAATAATATACCTTTGTATCTTCATCTTATTTATTTACGGCTTGTATTTTATATTATTTTTCAATAGTATTTGATGGTACCTACTTTGTATTTTATAACTAATTGTTAAAATAATTTTGATGTTTTCAATTACCTGCTTATCTGAATCATTTCTATAAATAAAATACAACGTAATATTATGATAACATGAACTAGGTTGGATCATTATTTTTCTTAGATATATCAGTTAGGTATACTTACTTGAATCATATTGTAATAAAAATTGATTGTATACATTAATTTTACTAGAGTTTGGATTTAATTGCACGATGTCCATTGTCCATGGCTTTAGATTTAGAGCTGAGATTGATGAACCTAACATAACTTAACCTCTTTTCTTAAAAATATTTCTATGGCAATAGGTAACTTAATTTTTTTAATTAGTTTCCATTTGAATCATATTCATTACAATTAAAGTGTCAATACTCAATAGATATTTATATAATAGAGAGATTGTTAATATATCGATTTTGTCATGAATACCTAGGTACTATACCGTGTGTTCAATTTTAAAGGTAACAGGAAATATTTCGATCGTATGACCTTCAATTTGATTCGGGGTTTTTATACTGCATATAGGACTTATAAATACATATTTTTTAATAAATTCAAATTTTTAATTTTTTTTTATCAGCGCATGCGCAGTAAAATAAAAATTTCTTAAATAGCAACCACTATTTTGGAGACCGGATTTCGATTTCTTTATTTTTTCTGAACAACTTTGATCTTTACAGTTTGTTGATATCTTCAAAATTGCCATGTTTATGACGGTCGGAAGTTTTAAAATAGTTAATTCGTAAATAATTGTGTGGTGGATGATATCTCTCGGGATATCGTTCAGCATAAAGTGCCCCTGCGTTACGCGAATTTTGATGACATTCTCCAAAAATTAATACCATATCGGTTTTTTCGGAATAGTTTGCCAATGTACAAAAAATAATGTGTCACGCGCGACTCACGAAAAACGTTTGACTATTCACAATCAATTTTAGAATTCTATCAAAATATCTTATTCACACAGGTTAATAGTATAACTTTCATTATAATACTATTAAAAACAAATTAAGATAATAGTAGTAGATAATTTAGTAGTTTTAATAAAAATAAATTGTTATAATAATACCTATAAATTAAGATAGACCGTTGAAAAATGCAATATTTACAAATTAACTATTTTAAAACTTCCGACCGTCATAAACATGGCAATTTTGAAGATATCAACAAACTGTAAAGATCAAAGTTGTTCAGAAAAAATAAAGAAATCGAAATCCTGTCTCCAAAATAGTGGTTGCTATTTAAGAAATTTTTATTTTACTGCGCATGCGCTGATAAAAAAAAATTAAAAATTTGAATTTATTAAAAAAATATGTATTTATAAGTCCTATATGCAGTATAAAAACCCCGATTCAAATTCAATGTCACACGATCGAAATATTTCCTGTTACCTTTAAAATTGAACACACGGTATATCCATGATTATTATAATCACCCTGTGGTGGTAGTCTGGTGTCCAGTCCAAAAAGACAATCGTGTAGTCGGTAGCCATTATAAAAGAATATAAATATATAATAGGTACCTACCTAAAATAATAACATTATTTTGCCTATTGAGGTATGAGAAGTAATAGTGTTTATTGAGAGATGAGAAACTGATTTCCCCTATATGTGTATACACTACACAGGGGGTATTTTTTTGGGGGGAGGGGGGTATCCTTTATGTCTGGACACCCCCAGACTTTAAAAAAAATGTCATAATATATTGGATATTATTGGTGTAATAGTGTTATCATTTATTTTAATTATTATAAATAAATGGTATTTTTATATGAACTGCAAAACTGAAATTAATTTGATTACATTCGACGACACAGAGACTTATCTACAATTTATCAGGGATATCCAGAAATTATTTGAATTTCACCGGGTCATTACGATAATAAAAATACCTGGAGGCCGAAGCGAAATGACAATAACAACATAAATATTGTGAACGTAGGTATGTGTAGCATAATATTATACCGGGATAATGAACCATGTTATAACATCCCGGTGCATTAGTTTTCACACTGGTTTAATCTATAGAATTTGTAGTAATCTTTTTATTGTTTACAGTTTATCAGTTAAGAGAACTATATACATTTAACTATTAATAATACAACAGAATAGATTAAAATAAAATTTAATCTATTCTGTGATTATAACCTACTATTATATACTATGATGGTATTATTTGCCAATTTGTCTTTCATTTTTCCATCTACTGTCGTGCTGTACGTACCACCGTCCACCACTGTACCAGGTGATTATTGAATAACGTAAGTACTTATTTATTCCTAAAAAAAATAAAATAATTAACACATTGGGGACGAATGTCATTATAGGACAACAAAATAAAATAATCGGAAAAAATATCGATTCAATATCATTTATATTGCAACTCTGAACTCAATATAAATAAAATAATATATTATAAATCGATTTTTTGTACACACCGTTTAAGCAAGGTGCTCGTCCATAGATGTGTCTATAGATGTGCAAGCAAGTACCGCGTTATTGTGAGGTTCAATAAATGTTGGACATCGCCCGATAAATCACCCAAAATACGCCACTGCCTTTACATATGGTAGGTAAACTGTACCTACCTATACCCCAACATTTTCAATAGAATTTAGATTTCATGTTTTCATTTTAATAAATGAAATTTTCAAGTACCCACCATAATCCATGCAATTTTTTTTTTTGAAAAGTTCCCTATGCTAACGATAACCATAATTTACTTTTATTTTATAATACTATTTTGCCAGACACCTAGATATCAATGATTTTTGAATAACCCAATACAGTAGATTATTTAATATTAAAACTGTTATACTTTTAGTTTACACTAGTTTAAAATAAGTAGGACATAGGTATAAAATGTAGTTATTATTAAACCATTTTTTTTTTATATATAGCAAATAACCTGTAACCAGTGGCGTATTGGTGTATATACAAATTATTTTCAGTATGGGCCAATTTATCACTAATCAAGCATAGCACGACTAACATGGCCATAACTATAAATATTTAGGGAGCTGGGTGGTTATCATAATTATATGACATAAACAATACAAATAAAAATTGCGAAATTTAATTTTATTATTATTATATAAAATTTATATAAAATATTGAGTTTCATTTATATATTTATTATATATTGTATATATTATATGTGTGCATATTTTAATGTTATTTTACTATGAATTTAACATCAAAGCCATTAAAGCAAGTCCGGACAATCTAACATTTCCTTGTTGATTCCTCAAATATGATTTTAATAAACCTGCTAAATTAATCATGGTGAAAAACTGTAAACAGTGTAGATACCTATACATACAATGCTTTAATTGGACCTGCAATTTCAGTATGGGTTCTGGCCTAGGGAGTCTTCCCTCTATACAAAGTGTAACAGATAGAACTGACTTTTGTAATAACTTTTGTTCTTTTCAATATTTTTAATATATAATTTATAGCCCACTTGCGTTGCACATGTAATAAAAAAAAAAATTATATTTATTTTAGATTCTGAGCGGAAAGAGGATACTAGTGGTTTACAATGGTGTTTATTTTATTTATTGATTTTTTTTAACCTGTATACAAAATTTCTACCAGAAGGAGTGCTTTGATTTCAACATTTAGTACCTTATCTTTTAGTGAATTGGATCAAGATGGTACTTTAAAGAGGTCATTTTTCGATTTTATCAATAGTTATTTAATGCCACGGTAAAAACCACCGAAAAATTACGAAAAACTGCTAAAAATTGTATTTTAATTTCTAACGCTTTGTTTATTACCATAGAAACGAATAAAAAATAATAATATTATAATATTAATTCAACTTACAAGATATAATAATTAATAACAATATGAAATATCCAGACTGGCAAACCGTGTCCGCTCAGAATCGTTTTTCTTATACAATTATATTATATCATTGAATTCAAGTTTAATAGATCCAAATTAGATTATAATAATTTTATTCTTAAAATGCAATCTTCTTTAAACTCTAATCCTAAACTATTTTGGAAATTTTTTAGTCAAAAAAAATCAAACTCAACCTTCCCAAATACAATGTCTTATAACAATAATGTAATAAATGGTGGTAAAGATATTGTTAATTATTGTTTTGCTAGTTATTTTTCAAGTGTATAATATGTAAATAATTTAATTACGCCAACATCTACAGATAAATTATCGTCCACTGTCTTAAATAATTTAATTGATATTAACCTACATTCATGTACACTGAACATTACCGAAGTTCTAAATGAATTTGATATCATTAATAATAAAACAAGTCCAGGTCCAGATATGATATCAAATTGTTTCTTTATAGAATGTAAATTTGTTTTGTGTGTTCCGTTATTACACTTATTTAATTTATCTCTTTCTTCTGGTTACTTTCCTTCAGACTGGAAAATTAGCCATGTTACACCAATAAAAAAAAGGAAATGATTTGTCTAATATATTTAATTATCGGCCGATTTCCCTTATTTCTATTATTCCTAAAATATTTGAATCCTTAGTATCAAAAAAAAAATTTATCCGGTACTTGCACCAGTAATAATATATTATAAAATATAATAATTAAACAAATTATATAAATAGATAAAACAATTAATTAAAAATAAATAAAATCATTTAAATGTAGATAATTGTTTTACAGCTGTCATTAGTTGTGAATAATTACTGTCACCAACACTATTTCTTAATAATACACTATAGATGATTTTCAGTTCATCTCCTTTGTCCGCTAACCATCTATAGGAATATAATTAATTTTGAATTAATTGATTTTAAACACAATATTATCTTTCTTCAAGTTGAAAAAAACATCATAAAGTACTTGAATATAATAAACATAATAATTTAATAATTAATAACAGATTCACTTACTTTATTTCCTTTACTGACGATTTATCCAAGGCTAGATGGATCATACATTTCAAAAGTTTAAGTACATTTTCCTCTAGGATTAATAAAAAATGTAATTTTCTCATTTCAAAGTGTAAGTCATCTTCAATAGCTAACTCCTGAGTTAGATCAGCACTATATGAATATTTTATTGTGTCCTTATTTTCCGAAAACATTTGAAACACGGCAACACATTTTCTCAATGTTTCTAAAATGGACGTCACATATTTGAGATACCTTGGACCTGAGTGATAAAATAATAATAATTAAATGGGTGACTATTTATTAAAAAAATTAAATACTTTACATACCTATCGTTCTATCAATTAAGTGCATATCTAATGTTATCATTTTTATGAGAACCTCAAAAGATTCCAATGGTCGCTCTATTTTAAAAAAGATTTCAAATGAAATATTACAGTAAGACTTGATCTGAATGAAAACAGGATGCAGCTCTGGAGATTCCTTAGTAATACATTGTCTAGTAATTAAACATAAACTTGTTTAAAATAAATTCATAACATATTACAATAAAAATATTTAGTATACAATTTATTATTTTAAGTAGCGACAACTCAGCGTGCCAAGCCGCCAAGGTAAAATTATTATTGACATATTATAAAATAACAATTTCTACATACCCTAAACGATCAGAAGATAAAGATGCTAGACCAAAGTGAATATATGCTGTTTGATACTCATATACAAATCTGTTGGGCGATTCATTTTCTAGATCGCAATATTTCAAAGCTTCCATGAACAAATTGATACATTCCCTATAGTTACTAGAATTGCACTAAATGGCAAAAAAAAAATTTTCGATGACAAAATATGTTTTATATAAACCCCAAAATTGTATACTAACTCGACATATGGCTAAATATTCGTTTACAGCTTTATGGAATAGAGTTGAAGATAATTTATAGTAAACCATATCCCATTGTTGTGAATTAGAACTACGGTCACCCATCTCTGACAATCTTTTCTTGTAAGCGTTTCCAGCCTTACATTTTATATAGTAATATATATTTTATAAACTGAAATTTCATCATTAAATTATGAAACCTTACCTTAAAATTAAAAAACTCAGTTTTTATAAATGTATTGAGAGGTACTACATATTTTGTTGAATAATGTGCTATGTATCCGTACAAATTTTCCAAGTTTGAATTTATTATTGCAAAATTATCTTCATCATCAACTTTTTTAAATATATTACTTCCCAATGTACAAAAAGTCTTCGATTTTTTAGCAAACAATTTTAACTTTAAAGGACTTAGAGGAATATTATTGCTTATAGCCACTATATAAAAACACAAAATTAATTAATGTAATAAAAATCACAACATAAGACGTTTTTATATTTTGAATTATGCTTCAACTTACTTAATATTTCTTCCATATACATTTTAATGTTTTCGTTGTAAACATTACCTATCTGTTTACTCAGATTATTCTTGTCATGAATATTTGTTTCCAATGTCAAAGCACGTGAGTAACAATGTTCTGCTGCGCTCAACATGCTTTCTTTTGAATTATTGAGGCTTGTTGGTATTAAATTTAAATCTTTAACATTAAAATTAAATATATTTTTATAACTTTAAGTAACATCAACTAACATCAAGTATTATTTGATTACCTTTGTTAGTACAATTATAACTATTTAGCAATGCTTTTTTTAGTTCAAAATCATACTTTTCATCAGTTTCAAGCTCGCTTGAGTACTGTTCTATTTTATCCCAATGTTTAAAAATAAACATACAACAATTGCCACAACGTTCTAATACAAGCATGAATATATGGTTAACATCAGTGTTGGTAATACATAGTTGACATTCAAGTGACCGGCGGAAACATTTTAATGCTATTCCAAAACTAAATGACAAATATATGTTTATCATTTAACAATTTCAAATATTTTTCGCTTATCTTACTTTTTGGATGTAAGACATTTTTCGCCTAAATTAAAATATGCATCAGATGCTTTTTTATAGAGTAACAGCCTGAGGTGATTTCTAATGTCCTCAGCATTGGATGGATTATGGCAACTTGGCATATTATTCTTTCCAATTGTCTTGTCCTTGGACAACAATGCACGTTAAACCTTTTACACCATACATTTGTAATTTTTTTATAAGCCAATAATTTCATACATACCATAATATCTTTATCGTTCTTAAAATATTGCAAGCCACTCAAACTGCTCCCAATATAATACAATGCCTTATAATAACATTCTTCTATTGTTTTTATTAAATATCTTGACGTAGGGTACTCCAGTACTAAAATAATATATAATATTATAAAACATGAATTGCCTTCAAACATAAAAATAAATAATAAATAATAAACATTCACTTGAGGAGGATATATTTTCTTTATTATGTGATATACATAAACTTTGTATGTCAATAGAATAGGTCCCGCAGTCAAATTGAGCTGATGAAATGGCAGAATCATCATGGAAAGTAGCAGAGTCCTCATTCACATCAGTTGAATCTTCTATTACAGTGGTTGATGGATTATTATAGATTGAGATGTACATTTCGGATAACATGTAATTGATACATGTAACAATCTGAATGGTAGGTAATAATATTTGTGGTTAGAATTCTAACAAATATTATAAGTCATTAGAAATTACTTGAGGATATTTAGTTTTATCTAATTGTAGACAAATGTTTAGTAAAAATTGAATAGTAACTGGATTATACAGTTTTCTATCTTCTGGATTATGTTTTGATTTACAAGCAACACGATATAACAAAATAGCCACTGGAACGGCAAATGGATTTAGGTTATCAGTTAATGATTTAGAACATAATGTTGTCAAATCATAAAGTTTTACCACATCATCATTTTTTCCTGTAATTTCATGGATACAATTTATAAGAAACTAATTTATAGTTTAACATATGATTCTTATAACTAATTAATTATTATACCTTTAAATAACCAGTACGTATGTCCAACACTATTAGCATTTGATTTTAAAAATGATATTGTATTTTGCATAATATCACTAACATTCTTTGGTGAAAATGTTGATCCATTTAAATATGGTAAATTTTCAGTTTTTAATAATTCATACTTTTGGACAATACCTTTTATATGATAACATAATTCAGTTTCAGGAATATTGCACATTAAATTATCTAGCCAATAATCAATCCCAGTTGACATACTTAGAGGTTTTGACATGTCTCTAAAATTAACAAAATAATAATATTAATTTCTTACTAGCCTTAAATACTCAATAAAAATCATAAAATGTGTTAGTAAAAAAATATCATACCTCAATCTTGAACTTAAAGATGAATTATTGCTACTTCCAAAAATTGGTAAATCTGTACCTATTAACATTTGCATGCCTTCAAAATTCCATAAAAAATGTCTGTTAAATAATTTATGCATTTGAGAACTATTTGAAAATACATCTTCTGGTGAAATTTTGGGTAGAGCTGGTAACTGTACATAATTAATACACAAGTTATTATAATACGTGTTAATCTAAAATATAATGGTTATGTTTTTAAGTAAACTTACTACAGAAGTTTCACTATGAAAAATTGTATTTTTTATTTGATCATTATGGGAATCTAATGTATGGTGCAAAAATTTTGATACCAAAGATTTATGTTGTAAACTATTATGACCATTCTGCTTATAAGTGATACATTTCACCTATTGTTCATGAATACAAATAGAAAATATTAAATGCAATAAGACATAATTTGTAAATTAAAACTGAAAATTCTTGTTACCTACCTATCTAACTACTAACCAACTAACTTCACCGCTTTTTCTAGGGATATATGATATTTTATGTGCCTGTGAATCCTAACATCATCGAAAAATTAATATTATGGGCCCTACTATTAAATAATGCAAAATTTTAACCTAAAAGATATATTTATTACATTATACTTTGAAATTTGTATACTTCTAAGGTTAAATCTTTTGTAAATATTTGTGAATTTTGATAACGACCAGCGTCTGTACTAAAATTGTAAATTTATATTTTTGTATATTTGACGATAGAATGAATCTGATAAGAAATGATGGCTTATAACTCGTAAATCTTAAGTTTAAATGTTTAAGTATGTTTGGCAAAAAATAAAAATTGAATAGGTATTTGATGAAATGGTTAATATTAACATAAAGCTCAAAGCTGCGTTCCTAATTTAAAAATACATTATTTTGAGCAAATGCACTTATAGTTTCAAATAATTTTACACGCGGCTATCTTTGACTGTAAAAATGAATTGTTTACTGTTATGCCAGGGGTCTCCAACCTTTCTTTTTATGGAGGGCCAAATTTTAGAAACGCTTTGGCATTGTTGGCCAACATTTTTAGAGTAATAGAGCAGTTGAAAAATTGAAGAATAGATAAGATTTATTTAGAAAAATGAATGTTTGTTTATATACTTTTAGATTCTAAGCAGAGCGAGGAAGCTAGTTTTTTACAATGGTGTTAATTATTATTTTTTTTTATATATCCTGTATACAAAATTTCTACCAGAAGGAGTGCTTCGATTTCAACAAATCGATGGTTAGAAGTTAAAAGGGCGTAAACGCCACTTTTTTCAAAATCAATGTTTTTGCATATTGTTGGAAACGGCATTATTAGACATCGATTAATCGAACCTAAACATCGCTATCATTTGTATACATCCAAGAATCTATGTTTAAATATGTGGTCGTAAACGGCATAGAATTGGTGGGAATGAAAAAACTGGGTGTAAACGTCAAATACAAGATGTAAACGGTATTCAAGGAAACTTGATAATACATAAGCGTCATTGTTAACGCTTACATCAATTTATCATTTTTGTTAGTGGTTTTGTCAGCACTACTTATATTTAAAATGTTTGAAATACATTTACTACAAATCTTCATTGAATTTAATCAATAATATAAAACAAAATATAACAATATTAAACTATGGAAGCCATTACATTCAATAGAACATCTTTGGGGTGTAAGAGCCAGGATCAGAAAAAATGGTTCTTAAGTCATTTTTTTTTTTAAATTGGTTTTAAATACACAAATATATTATGATTATGAACAATTAATCAATTCAAAATACGTAAAAACTCATAATAAATCATATAAGTCTCAAATCGAAGTGTTATACGATGTTCTAAGATTGTAACACAGTTAATGTGCAAATATCTGTTTTTCGGCTCTCCTGAACAATTTGGAAATTGGCGTTTACGCCCTTTTACCGTCTAACCATCGAAATAGTACCTTATCTTTTAGCAAATTGGATCAAGATGGTACTTTAGAGAGGTCAATTTCGATTTTTCTCTTTTAATAAATTCTAAAATAAACATATAATATTGGTTATATTTATTTTGGATGTGTACCTAATACTTCATTAAAAACCCACGAGTCGCCAATGGTTGTTAGGTTACTAAGTAACAAATTACATAATATATTATATAAATTATATTATATTATTAATATTTATAAATTCAAATACCAAATATGAACATATAAAAAATTCTTCTATGCTTACCACAATATCAGAAGATCCTACAATATTGTTGTAAAAGAATTTTTTTAACCAGTCCCATTCATTGTTGGTTTCTACAGCCAAGTATTTCTGAACATCAAATTCATCTAACAATAATGTCTTATCAATTTTATGTACCATCATGCTCACCTTTAAAATAATTATAATAATTTAGTTCTAAAGACAATAGAATAAAATGAAAATTTTTATTTATTAGAATAACTAAATAATATTTAAATATTTAATGTAGATTCATCCATCCGTACTTTAAAATAATATTTACATAAAATAATTTAGTTAGTTAATTTATAACAAAATATACATGTCTTTTTAAATCATATGTTTATACCTATGTATAAAAACTAATATTTACTTACAGATTTTTCATATGGTATTTTGCACAAGTTCTTGATATTTTTGGTATCTGATATAATGTCCACTTTGCCTATGCATTCGTGAAACACATTAGCCATTTGAAAACTAAAAAACATAAACAATATTAATTGAATGTTTTGTTATTTGTAAAAATTAATAATTTGTATGTTTCTTACCTAGAAAAACCATGAAAATCACTAGATGGCATGTATCGCATGCCATAGGATTCTGCTTTTTCAGATAACCAATTTGGTGGTGGTAAATTTAGATTAGTATGAAGCTTGTGGCGAATATAATTGGGTGTCTGAACTGTTGACAACTTTAGTACAGATTTTGATTTAATTTGACCATTTTTATCATTGAAAGTACTGTGCTGGGTATTTTGTTTGTCCTAAAATTAAAACACACATAATCAATTAAAAATTGAATTGTTAGGTACTCTTCTAAATGTGCAGAATTGTTAAATGACAATGACAGAATGTATTTATGTCAGTAAAATTACATATACGCATAGCCGTACATGCAGGATTATTATGAAACACACAATCGAAATAATATAATCAAGGCATTCGTTTATAATAACTCGAAACCCTATTGAGCCAACATATTTGCAAAATTGTAACAAATTGTATCAACTCACCATGATGGTTGAAGTTTAGTTCATAAATGTATAAGCAGACAATAGTAGATGACACACTGGCACACAGCAGTGGTCTATATCCACTGACGAGTGATTTTTGGTAGTCTCGTTTCACACCGCTGTCATACTAATTTGTCTACCGGGATTACGCAAAAAACGAATAACCAAATTACGATGATCAAACTAGGCGACTGCGATGACGAACAGAGGACGAGGGACCATAGTATTAAGACGGTTTAAAATCTCACACTGTACGCAACCGACATTTAAATCGTTATAATAGTCGTTACTTAACATCAAATACTTGTTGAACGGCGTCACAACTCACAAAATATGCCGGAATGCCGGAGTGCACAAGACAGCACAAGTGGGCACAACCACGACTATCATTATAATACTTATCAGTTAACGTGTTAACGATAATCTAGTAGATAATCGTAATTTTAGCAGCTTATCAGTGGCCTCGAATGTACTTTGCGTAAGAGCACGATTTAAGATAATATACGATTTAAAATATATAATATCTTAAGGGGGGTTCACACTACACTACACCGTGTCGTGTAAAATAATGACTTAAATCATGACTAAAACACGGACTAACAAAATGTGATGCCAAATAAAACCACAGGTATCGCTGTAAACATTGGGTCGATAGTGTGAGGATACTTTGGGTGGCCGTCCCCTGACCCCCTCTGACGATTTCGTTTCCAGCCATTATGTTATCTTAGTCCGTGATATTATGCAATATGCATGACAAATTATTTGTCATGACTCATGATATTATAATATTATATTATTATGTAATAACTAGGACCCGGATTTTTATGCAAAAATGTTTGTTAAATATGCACATATATATGCACTCAAAAATTCAAAAATATGCAAATAATATGCAAAAAAATGTATTGTTTAAAAATACAAAAATTAAAAATATAGTATTAAGTGAAAAAAAAATACAATTTAAACATCATTTTTTAAAATGTGTATGAAGCATAAAAATTTGTATTAATTATTGAAAGAATACCAACATGATGTAACAAAATGTGCTTTTAAATTATCAAATTGAAAAATTAATAATAAGTTGTAAAATAATGTAATAAAAGTAATAATAGGTTGTGGGGGTAAACTTAAGTTTGGACATTTTTCTTTAAAAGTACCTACACGACTAGGTGCTTTTAAAAAAACTTTTTTTGTGTTAGATATCAACAAATCAACATTTTAGAATTCATCCCTATTAGCTTCTGATAATCTATGAAGCCCATGGGCCATACAAGTAAATAGTTACTAATAACGGTCAACAAGTGAACCGATCTGTTTTTATCGTCGGCTGGCTAAAGCTGAATAATAAATATATTATTCTCGGACGGTGATGGTGATTCATTTTTGAAAAAACATTGTATTGTATTATATAATGATCTGTAATTTTTCGGTTAAAGTAGGTAGGAACTACTTGTATGAAAGACTTTGTATTAAATTATCTAACCTTAGCTATACACATTTAATATTTTATAAGTTTTGAACTACAAATTAACTGTGGTTTTGACGAAATTTGAACTTCAAATGCTTATAAAAAATAACCTTGATGCCTATATGTTAATATTTTAGCTATAATAAAAACTTACGTATTAAATTTTTAAGCTTTTTGACTGGATAAACAATTTTTTGTTGACATTTGTAGAAAAAAAAATTTCATTAATCAAATTCAACCAAAGTGAGGCAGGTATAACCAAGCTGGTTACCAAACAATTTAAGTACATTTTCATCTTTTTTTCTCCAATTATTTTAAAGACCTCTGAGCATTTTCAATTTCGACCTCTAAAAGTACAATTTGCTTCCAAAAACATACATCGAATTATATGATCAAAGCATTTTTTCTACCAAAAAAGTTGAGAAGTTCCAAACATTTTAAAATACCTCCTCCATTGACAAATCCTGAGTGAGCCACTGATAATGGGGTTATACATATAACATCCAACGAAGTACTAAACGAAGTTTGTACTTACAATAATTTTATAAATTGATATTAGACATAACCATAAATTATATTTTTAATAATAAAATAATGCATGTTAAAAAATCAGCCATATATTATCCCCCTCATGACAAAATCATTTGACCGCCAATGAGCCTTTAATAATAATTTCTGACCATGTTGAAAGAGCGTCTAAATGAATTACGTTCTCAAAATCTGCATACATAAATTCTGGTTTAAAAATTAAATTAACCTTAATTCATTCGTCGACTAATAACTGAAAAGTATGTGTATAATATTATGCTTGAGTCATTTAACTTTGACTTTGTATTATGATTTTAGGTAGCGTACTAAAAATGAATGATAAAAGGAAATTTGGTGTTTTCATTTTAGGTATTATTTTTCTTTTTATGCTATAATATCAAAGATGAGTACCTATCAAATTGTAAAATAAATATAATTTTATATTATATATAAAATTATATAAATAATGTGTTAAATCTTAATGCGATGTACCTTCAATAATATACCTATTCAATATTCATAAAAACAAATAAAAGTATTAATACTTATAAGTTATAAGACTACAATAGTAATTTATTTACATGAAATATATTTTAAATACGTATACACATCATTAAAATAATTAAGTTATATACTTATAAACTAAACTAGGTAATTCATATCTTTGGTAGTATTAAATATTTTTTTCATTTGAAAAAGATTTTTTTTTCTGGTTTTGTAATCGACAAATTTAAGAACATCACAGTATGGATTACAGAAACCACTTTTAATTATAAACAAAGCGAGGTCCTTAATTGTTGTGTTTAATAATTCTCCTTTAATTTGCCTGCTAAAATATGGAGAAATGTCATCATTATTTTATATTTATAGAATAATATTTCAATAATATATCAAATATCTATACTGACTGTGAAATTTGATTCATACATAAATACATTAAAATAATGTGATTTTGATATTTGTAATCAAATAAGAAAATAGTAAATTATTAGTTGGGCTGGGGCCTGGGGCCCCTGCAGTCTATGGGCCTCAGTGATCAACAACCCCCATCTTCGGGTAGTTGTGCTACTGTAAATATTATAGGCAAAGATGTATATTATTAATATGTTATAACTTATAAGTTATAACCAACTCATTATCAATTTTACCCACTTACTCACAAAATAAATCGAGTTAGTGTATTTTGACTGAATTCTGTATATTATATTCACTTATATTCACTTGTACAATTTACAATATTGACTGTTATACACGTCACACGCAGAACGTATGATTTATAATAAAATCCACTAATTTGTGAAAATAGTTATATACATTTACTTTCTGTAATGTACCCAGAATAATGAAATCGGTGTCAACTTCTAAAGAATCATAGAAACAAAATAAATGTGATTCCAATAATAATAATAAAACATAAGTAGGAACCTTTAATTAATAAGTATTAAACATATTTAAGGTATGTGGTTAATTATAAGCTAAAAATGTGAAGTCGAGATTTTTTTGTTGGAGGGAGAGGGTCGTCAAATATTGTTGCCCTAGGCCCTGTAATGTATTTAAAAAGTGGCCCGCATGATCATTTGGGTTGGCCATCCCTGCCCTAGGGCGTTATTGGTGGTTAGCGTGGCACTGGTAACATTATTTTATGGCTTCCGGCCCCATCTAATGTACCTATAGGTACCTAGAGAGCCTAGATAATAATACAAATAATACAAAAGTCTCTCTATAGGTACCTATTATTTATTAATGTAGATGGCACTTTTGACTATTGTTATACTAATACCTGTGTCCGTGCATGGAATGATTTATGTTTCTAACTCTCTAGTATATTTTATGACAATGTCGGACGGTACTCGGTGACATGCGTCAGGACCAATGCCGTACACAAAATAGGGGGGTGTTCAACCCCTCCACCCCTTGTTATTTTGGCATAGGCTCACTTAAGCTACCCAGCACATTCTTGGAATTTTTTTTAAAATATACGTATATCAACGAGTTAAGAACGATGGTGCAAAAAAAAAAAATGCGAAAACCATTATTTTGGAAGTTTACGTTTGCAACACTACTTATTGCCACGAGAAAGACCTTGAGTTTGGTGACCGGGGCCGGTATGAGATGGGAGCCACTATAATATTCGTATGTTACTTTAACAGGCAAGGTTTCGATATTCTCATTACTCATTAGCCTGTTGTCTCAATGCAATAATGGGTATTTTCTATATCTGTAAACATAATATTATTTAAGGATATTGGTACAGGGTATCTACGATTTGTTTGTAAGCGATAAAACAAACATTCCCAAGTTTGTAAGACTCCGTTTGTGCATTATGATTATATCATTATAATCAAATGTTTACAATAATGTTATGAATTTCATTTTAAAAAAGTAAACTATTTAAATTATAGTGAATAAATACAAATAATAATAATTTAAATCAATTTCAAATTAAATTAACATTTTTATTTATTTTTATAATAATATGAACATATACAGATTTAAAAAAATAAAATATGTTTATTTTTCTGTCTGATAGTCTATAATTATTTGCGACATAAGTTTAAAACAACTGGGGGGAGCTTACATATTTCCTTCAGATCAACATAATGTTAATAACCCAGGAGAGTCAAAAATCGGGAGAGTTTACCATCGCTCCCCAGTTAATTTAGAGTTGTGTAGGATGCAACATATTCAATTTTATTCAGAAGAATATCTCTAAAAGTTTTGATTTTTTGTTAAGTAACGTTTTTAGTGTGTATTCATGAAGTTTTATGTTATAGGTAACTCTGTATTCTCTTTGGACTTAATTTAATTTGTTGGCTGCATTTTCCGCTATTGAAATACTTTCAATTATTATTAGATTTGATGTTTCTAATTGTTTACTTTAACCAAGAAACAAGGCATACATTAGGATATACCTTCTTCATTATATGTTTGTACTCTAAGCTAGAAGCTTTTAGAAATATTTTTCTTACAGCCGTGATTAATGAATCAACTAACTTATATTATTGTT